CTTCCAGACCTGCAGCATTGGACTCATTGATGCTGTTGTTTCTATCATTTCCCATACGAATACGAAAGCTCATGAAAATGAACAAATGGTTTCTGTACGATATTTCTATTTCCACAAAGGTCCGCGTGTACCATGCATCTCTAGGGTTTTTCTTCCATACGGATGCGAATACTGGGCTATGCGCGTGGAGGATGAACAGAAGCTGAAAGTCTTTGATCACTACTGCTTGAGGACCATTCTTCGAGTGAAGTACACCGACTTCGTCTCAAATGAGATAGTTCGCACTCGCTGCGACAACATCGCAAGGATATCCCATACAGTCCAAAAAAGACGTCTGTGGTGGTTTGGACACGTTCTTCGCCGTCAATCTTACGAGCTCAGCGTTACTGCCCTTGACCCGAAACCGTTACCTAATTGGTAACGTCGATGTGGGGGTCAGCTCTGAACCCGGCTCCACTCAGTCCGTCAGGACATGGAAGTGGTTTTTAGACCTTCGGTATTCGGTCTCCGACGCTGGCGACTTGAATGGCTCGAACTGTCCAGGTCTGCTGCCGCAAATTGTCGCGCGTAGAGAAGCAGCGTTCGGGACATCATCGAGGTCGGCTGAATCAGTCATGATCGCAGCCGCAACAAGTAAAAGTATAAGTTTGTGTTCAGCCCACCACCTTCATACTTACTCGTTCACGTCTGTGAAACTCAAACATCCGTCTCCACTTATTTGCAGGTCTGTCATCGGATGACTCCAATAAAAGCTACTCAATTAGTATCCGGCTAGCCCAAGAAAGCCATAAAAAGGGCACCAACGAAGGCCACACATTATTTAATTTGTAGAGTTTTCTCCGAAGAATAATATTGATGGACTTTGTGAGCACGCACAGGTTAGCTCCGCATCATCCACTGCTTAAGCCTCTCCCTCACTCATCAGCACCATCGACACGTCCGACTAGCCTTTCTAAAGCTCTCGATGGTCGCATACCGCTTTTGCATAACATGCCACTCCTTGTATAAATGAGAAGAATTCG